GGATCCACTTTTGCTTGTCTTGGTGAGACTCGCAGCTGAACTTATGTCGCAAAGAAAGCCGCACATCATGAGACTCAAAAAACTGAATTCAATGCTTCAAAGACATAGAAGGCACCTTCCGACCCGCTGCAACAGCTTCCCCAAGACAAACTCAACTCCTCGATTTTGCAATCTGTGGAAGTCAGCTGCGGTCCGAACTCCTGGTCTGGAAAAAGTGTCCAGTAGCCCTTAATATGCTCTTCGGCAAGGCTTAGCAATAAAGAGCCGTTCTTAATCGCTGCTGGATCGACAACCCGGCCAGAGGCCTCAAGCATCAGCCGGCTTTCCTCGCAAGAGTCGTTCTTTTTCAGGCGCCTACCATCTCCAGGAGCCTCATGTGGCTTTGCGAGCATAGTTTGAAGAGGCGCTGCTACATAGCAGAAAGCTACCAAAGTTTGAGAACTTGTGGCTGAAGCATGCACAGGCTTGAAAAAAGGTGTAGACATGAGACCGCTCTACAAGGCTAGAATCATGTTTGCTGTAAGAGTCGGTTAATTGCGCAACAATGCTGCCTCGGTGTTTGCGTTTGGCAGGTGTGACACTCTTGCTGCACAACATAGCTTCTAGTTGTTTGACATCTAAAAACACCAAAGTCACAAGAACCAGTTAGTTAACTTTAAATTGAATTGAAGCTACCTTTGCCTTTGCCTTGTACTTGTAGACCCAATCTGCAGCAGCACTGTTTTCCAAAACCTGAAGCGGTGTGAGGAGGCTGCAGGCCTTTCAGACTCACAGCTGCCCATTGGCACAAAAGCACGGTCAAAGACCAGATCACTTGCATTGTATGTGATCCTATCAACCCTTTTTGGTTGTCTTTGGCTTGGGTTGCGCTGCCTTGGGCTTTGCCTTTGCCTTTGCCTTTGGCGCCTGTGCCTTTGCTTTCTTAGCTGGCGGCTCATTGGCCTCTTCCTCTTCCACGTCCTCTCCTTCCTCTTCTATGTCCTCTCCTTCCTCTTCTGTGTCCTCTTTGGCTTTCTTCTTTTCTTTCTTTTCCTTTTTTGTTTTTTTTCTCTTTCTCTTTCTTATCTTTCTTTTTCTTCTTGTCCTTGTCCTTGCTCTTGTCTTTTTCCTGGTCTTTTCTTTGACCCTTCTTATCCTTGTCTTCCTCTGTCTCATTGGCCTCCTTTTCCTGTGTCTTGGTCTCAGCGCCAGGTTGTTTCTTTGGAGGCCTCTTGCCTGCAAGCAGAGCAGTGCATTCCTCTACCACCTTTTGGGTGAACTGTTTCAGCTCTGCCTCCCCCCTCAGGCAACTCTGCCAAATGTTTCTGCAAGGTCTCAACTATTGGCCGCAACTCCTTCAGCGCCTTGCTGCCCTGAGCAGAAGCACTGCCCAGCTCGGGATTCCTCAGAACACACAGGCCTGCCACTAGCGCAACATGCAAAGAAGCGGTTGCCAAAATGCCCTTTAATGTCTTCACCTCAGTGCCAAGTTCTTCGCCCTCCATGGCTGACTTGGCCAGAGGCCCCAATCCAAAGTCCAATGTTTCGGCAGCCTTCAAGCTTGCAACATGATTTTCAAGGCTCTCTATCTTCTCAGACAGTTGCTTTGTGTCTGCAGCAAGCTTCTGCACAACCGTCAAGCCCTTGCCACGGTACTTGTCCTCATTGTCAAAGCCTGGCAAAGACTCTAGCATTTTGCCCACAGCTTTGCCCTGAACACGCACGGCGTCAGACATGTCATCAACTGTCTTTTGACTCCTGGACACGAACTTGGCACCGAGGTCATGAAACCATGGGACGGCTGCAGCAAAACCAGAAGCAGTGAGTTGTTCCTTGACTTGCGGCTCCTTTTCTCCAACTTTCTGGGCTTCGACGAGCTTTCTCTGCAAGTCTTGCAAAGCACCTCCAAGCTTGTCATCGGCCTCCACATGCTTCGCCACCTATCAGGTGTTACGGTGTTCATTGCAGGCCAACCCGACCAAAAAAACTGTGGCCAAGAAACTATACCTCGACGACACATGTCACCTCTCAACACCATGCAGGGCAGCAGTGGAAACTACACCTCGCCAAACCTTGTCCCCCCTGTCCTTTGGCCTGGAAATAAACAGACTTTGAACAAGCAACACTGAACTGTGAACGTACACATGCGCTAGCAAGACCCTGCCTCCAAGAAGCCTGCCACTAAAGGCCGCAATGGATTGTCCAGAGGTATCTTCTGCAACAAGTTCAACTCAGTCTCACTTGACATCCCTGTGCCCGCAACCCCCTTTTGGCCCTGCTCAAGCATATGTTTGATGGCCTGCAGACCTGAAGCGCAGGCTGTAGCAAGTGAGGTCCCACAAGCTTTGACAAAATGTTCATTGATCTTCACAAGAAGTTTTTCATCCTGGATCCATTGCTTGAGCTCGGAAACCAACACTGCAAGGTCGCCCTTGACAACTTCCACCTTGAAGTCCTTCTTGGGCAGGTGGCTGAATGCTGGGTGGTTGTTAAACACGATCTCAACCGCAACCACCAACTTGGCAACAAGGCCTTCGTATTGCTTCAGCCACTCTGCGTTGGGAAGCTCAGCAAGGAGGGGGTGCTTTACAACCTTTTCAGCGTGCAGAGCTGAGAACGCTTGCGACAGGTCGATCAACTTGCGTTGCCCTGATACAACGACGATGCAGTCAGCAACGATTGCTGAGCACAGGATGTCCCTGAGATGAGCAGACCCAGGCAAATTAAAATAGAACTTGACCCTTTTGTTGGAATTCAACGACCCGAGTTGGCCTTAAATTAAATTCAAGCAAAACAAGGCCTGAGGCCACAGCCACAGCCTACACACATGAAGGAAAACACCTTTCCTGGACAAATCCTGCTGCAAACAAAAACTGTGAAGACATGACATAACAAAGGGCCAAAGGGTTTCCCAACCACTATATATACAATATTATACAATCTGAAATAATTGTCGGCCAAGCCACATCACCTCAGTCACAGAGTCAACCAAAAAAGGTCTTGGTCAGTAGGGTGACCTTCTTTGCAAAATCCTCCTTGAGCCTGTTAAACCTGGCCTTAAGCCTCTCCTTTTGTCCCTGGCTAGCAGCCTTCACAGCTTGCTTGAGCTGTTTCTGCACATCGCCCACTTTCTGGTTGGCTGGGACAAAGAAGCTATTGATCTTATCAGCCATTTGGTCTTGGCTGAAGCCAGCAGGAATGCT